CTTATCATAGAAGGATATCAAACTAGTTAAACAGCATTTTCCCTTTGTGAACCCATGTTGACTGTGCCTGATGATTGCATTATTCTTTAAATGCCTTTCAGTAGTACCCAGTATAAATGACTCCATCATTTTTCTAGGAACTGAGGTTAGACTAACAGGTCTGTAGTTCCCTGGGTCTTCCCTCATGCCCTTTTTGTAAATTGGAGTAACATTGGCTAGTTTCCAGTCAGCAGGACCTCCCCAGACTCCCAAGACCTTTGGTAGATGATCAAGAGGAGTCCTGCCATAACATCCTCTACCTCCTTCAGTACTTTGGGATGAATCTTATCAGGCCCCACAGACATGTGACCATTCAGCTGATACAGCTGGTCCCTTACAATTTGGTCCACAAATGGAAAGTCACTGTTCCCACACTTGAGGTCCTCTCTGACCCTGACCAAGATCTATCAGTATTATTAAAGACTGAGGCAAAAAACACATTGAATGACTCCACTTTTTCTTCGTCCCTATTAGTCAGATGACCACTTTCAACAAGTATCTCTCCAATGTTTTCTTTAGACCTCCTATTGCTATTAGCATACTTTAAAAAGCCCGTGTTATCTGAAACAACACTGGCCAGTTTCAACTCTAATTCACAGAATCACAGAATGGTGGGGGTTGGAAGGGACCTCTGAAGATCATCTGGTCCAATCCCCCTGCCAAGGCAGGATCACCTAGGGCAGGCTGCACAGGAACACGTCCAGTCGCGTTTTGGAGGTCTCCAGAAAAGGAGATTCCACAACCTCTCTGGGCAGCCTGTTCCAGTGCTCCGTCACCCTCACAGAAAAGAAGTTTTCCCTCATGTTGAGGTGGAACTTCCTGTGCTGCAGTTTGTGCCCATTGCCCCTCATGCTATTACTGGTCACTACTGAGAAGAGACTGGCTCCATCCTCCTGATAGCCACCCTTCAGATATTTATAGACCTTGATAAGGTCCCCTCTGAGGCTTCTCTTCTCCAGACTAAACAGCCCCAGGTCTCTCAGCCTTTCCTCATACGAGAGATGTTCCAATCCCTTCATCATCCTCATAGCCCTCTGTTGGACTGTCTCCAAAAGTTGCCTGTCTAATTGAGCTTTGGCCTTTTGTGTCTTCTCCCTGCATACATGAACCACAGCTCTGTCGTCTTCCTGTGAAGCCTGACCTTGCTTCCAGAGATCATACAATTTCTTTTTCCTCTTGAGCTCCATGAGGAATTCCCTGTTCAACCAAACTGGTCTTCTGCCCCGCTTACTTGACTTACAACACAGTGGAATTGCCTGCTCCTGTGCTTCTAAAAGGTGGTTCTTAAAGACTGACCAGCGCTCGTGGACTCCTAAGCCCTTAAAAGCAGGTTCCCAGAGCACAGCTCCCTGAAGAGCTTAACATTTCCTCTCCTGAAGTCCAGAGTAGCAACTCTGCTGTCCTTTTTTCTTATTATGCTGAAAATTTTAAACTCAACAGTTTCATGATCACTGTGGCCAAGACAACCACCTACCATCACATCCCCCACGACTCCTTGTCTGTTCACAAATAGTTAGTCTAGGAGGGCATCTTTCCTAGTTGTCTCACTGAATACCTGTGACAAGAAGTTATCACCTCCTACAAACTTCAAGAATTTCCAAGACCTGCTCATCACAGCAGTGTGATATTTGCAGCTGATGTCTGGGAAGTTGAAATATCCCATAAGGACAAGGGCTACTGATCCTGAAATTTCTCCTAATTGCCTATAGAATAACTCATCAGTGCTTACATCCTGGCTGGGAGATTGGTAGTAGGCACCTACTACAACATCTCCTTTGTTTTGCAAGTTCGGTTCAGGCTGGCGATGGCGAGCCTCCCTGGCACAGTGAGGGCTCAGGGGTCCTGGCTCTCTGTGCTGGTTAGACAAAGACTGGCTGCCTTCGCCCAGGTTGTCATGGAAGACATGAAGACCTCTTTGATTGATAGTGTGATTTTGTTCACCTTCTCTTATGACTGTTGAGGTTGAGTTCTTTCGGGCAAGATGAGTAAACAAGCATTTATTTGGTGTAAATAGTGTAAATGCTAATAAAATAAAATAATGTGCCTTTATGTTCTCTATGCACTACTTTCTTCTAAAGGGTTTAAAATATGTATATACATTGTTATGGTATAAGTTCACCACGAGTCAGGCTGTTCTCTTTCTCGGAGATGTGCATGTACATATGGCATTACAGTAGTGGGAACAGTATTTGAATAATTAATGAAAAATTAATCTTTGAACTGTGGACTGAATGCATATGTAGTAATTATTGTGAAATTGTATTCACCTTAATGTGTCATGCAATTCATATTTTCAGAATGACAGCCCCAGACACTTACAGCAGTGATGAGTTTCTCTCTGAAGAATTCAATATTAGCAAAGAAGATAGGAGATGAGCACCTGAAAATCTTCACTCCCTCTGGCTCATAGATCTGTACAATGAAGGAAAAGTGTCAGTAACGATGTCTGCTGTAGAAACACAAATGCAGCAGATAATAAAAGAAACACGACAGTTCTTACATCAGTGTAATCCTTCCTGTTCCTGTAGATGTTACTTCTCCCAACATTAGCCAAAACAGTGCAGCTTGGACTGTGAACAAACACACACAGTTATTTGCGCCCCACACTGAAACCTGGTGGAAGAGAAGGATCAGAGGAAGCAACCTGAGCCCCAGTTCTTCAGACCTGGAGGTCTGAAGACCCACAGGACCCACATCCAAGGGTTTACATGTAAATGATTTTTCCATACACGATCGGTGGACAGACCGAGGTATGGGGCTGTTGGCCTTCTCTGCATGGAGGAAATTAATTTATAACAGGGGGCCCTGAGATATCTTTTCATTGCGTCCAACAAGTACTCACATCTGGGAGCGGATCACCACGGTCAGCAGCTGGAACGCCACGGCGGTTGCTAGCCCAATATCCAGGCCAAGAAAAACAGCAGCTAGGAAAGTCACCACCCATATAACCTGTAACGAGCAGGTGGATGGCAGCGGTTATGAGTGTGTCAAGGACCTGGGTCGTGAGCCCAGGGTGGGAGCAGTGACATCTGGACTGTTTTTTCGGATCTCGTCCAGGCTGTCCACCCACCTTTGGTGAGGGGTTTCATGTTTCCTAGGGTTTTTTTTTTTTTCTTGTAAAATAGGGACAGACTCACGAAGCAGTGTTTCTAGGGATGACAATTCCTATACAATAAATGCTTAGAATAATAGAGGTGTGGATCTTCTATAGGTGGTTCACTAAAAGCTCAAACAAGATCCAGCAGAAAGTCAAGGCTACAAGTAAATCAGGGTCCTGGTAAAGCCGAGAGTTGTAAGCGTGCTTTGGGTATCAAAACAGGCAAATGTAGGTGCTGTGAACTTCGTTGACTGATAAGCACTAGATAATACTGAGTATTTTTAGCCACAGATTTCAAAGCATTTTCTTGTGGTAAAAAACTGTTTGGTTGCTGGGAAAACTGAGGCCTGGAACCATTTGGGAACACAAGGAATTGGCTGATGAGAAAGCCAAGAGCCTAAATGCTCTGAGTGTCAGAGGTAGAGGCAGTCCTGCCCTCCAGCCACGAGCTTTACCGCTTGGAGTAAACGCTTCAAGTCATGGTCTTCACTTGTTTTTTGCTGTGTAACCGCCACCTAACGTGATGCGTGAGTATGAGAAAGCATCCCTGAATGTGTAGCCAATGCACTGCGTATTTAGACATTTTCTGTAACCGTTTTCTATATTTGACGCTGTATAATGAACTGTATTTTAATACATTTTAATGAAATGGGTGAAAGTGAAGTTAGAAGAGAGAATCAACTCAAAAGGCGGGACAAAATGGAAAACACAAGCAAGGGGTGTAAAAGTAAAAAAGGCACGCCACTATTGTACTTTTCATTTAGTGAAGTAAGGCAGGTATAAAAACAAAGATAACCTGGAAGCAAATTTGCATGATAGGTGCCTTTCCCAGAGTGCTTCATTCCTGAACGCTTGTGGGACTCAACTTACACAGTCATACTTGTCCTTTCTCCATAGGATGCCTACTTCTTTGAACTGCATGAGCATTCCTTTCAAGTTGCCAAGAGCCAAAGATGCAAGGACTGACTGTTAAACAGACCAAAATACATGTTGAATTTTAAAGCAAGCGAAGCAAATGTTGAACATTAAGACTTAGAAGATTATACAGATAGGGCCAAAGTGCAGCGGAAAGACTGGGCAGCTCCTCACATTATGTCACCGCTGCGGGTCGGGCTGCCCTGTCCATCCCACTGGAACCTCCCTAGCTGTGGTGCAGCACAGGTATCTGACCTGAGGCTGCAAATCCCACATTTTTGTGGCACCTAAAAGCTGGTGCTGTGATGTTTGGTGTTTGGGCACTTGCGTTCCCTCTGAGGGACCAGATGTAGTGGTCCTCTCTGTCATGATCTGGGAAGAACCAAGCTTTGCAAAACCCTGTTTGGCTCCCACTGAAGTCTTTGAACACTCCCAGTGACTCCCAGAGCAGCCCTGTCTTTGGCAAGCAGGAGGAAACGCTAGGTGAAACCAGTGAATACCTTCTGTAATGGTGCCAGGAGAAACCCAATGGCCAAGATCACAATCAAGACGATGACAGCTGAGATAATACCAGCAATCTGCATTAGAGAGCAATTCCACCATGAGTAAGTGCCCAAAGGCATTATGGTCATCCAAGAAAAAAAAAGAGCTTTCTTGCATTAAATGCCATCATGATCTGTTGATGTCTATACCTGTGTTTTGCCTCCCGTGCTCTCCTGCACACCTGATCTTGACAGAGCGGTGCTGGAGGCAAATCCTTTGAATGATCCACCAACTATATTACCCAGCCCAAAAGCAATTAGCTCCTGAAATAAAAACAAAAGAGATTATCTTAAAAGCTAGTTCATGGCAGTTATTCACAAGGCAAAGCATTCCTAAAATGACTTATTTCCTGTTGAAAAATGCTCTGTGTTGATTTGTGTGTTATCCATCTACCTGGTTGCTGTCTAGTGGGTAGTCATGTTTGATGGAATACACTTTAGCCACGGAGAAGGCTACTGCAAACCCAACGATTGCAATAGAAATGCTGTCGCCAATGCACTTTTGGAGGACACCTACATCAGGTGCAACAGGCGCTTGAAATCTGAAAGACAGAAAAATTTACTTCTTAAGGATATGCCTAAGGAGACAAGTTGTCAAGTAAGCAAGCAAGGCAGTGTCCAGCTCGTACTGAGCACTTTGGAGAGATGTGACACAGAATTGTGGGTCTGAACCCTCTAAAACTTTGGGGAATCCTTGATTGGAACAGGGACTCTGTTTATCTGCACTCAGCTCAGTTTGTGTCTTAGCAGGTTCTCGTCTCCTTGGCCAGGACCAGCCACAGCTTATTTTGTCTGAGGTGCATGCACAGTTCTGCGCCCTAATTACAGATGGATGTAAGACCTGAAACGGCGCTGGGGCCCTTGCACAGGAAGTTTGCACATGGAAGGATTTCACTTAACTGTGACCAAAAAAAAATCCCTGCATGATTCATTGGTGCGCTTTAGACAGCTAAACAAATACTTACTAAGTCAGGTAATACTGACTAGTCTCTCAGGCTCTCTGCTAGATGCTTTAGCTTTACCATTTCCTGCTCCTTTGATCGGGGGCTTTTGCAGATCCTAGGGAGAATTCCTCTCTGGGCTTTTTTTTTTTTTCCCCCAGTGACCTGAAATCTGAAGAACGGAGAGTCTTGAGCAGAAATAGCTGTTCTTCTGCAAACTTCATCCACTAACACCCCCGGGGCTACAAGAGGCAATAGAGAGTGCCCTGCTGAGTAAATGCTGTTCTAGTAAATGTCTTTCTCCCTCTTTTTAACTTAGTGCATGCCTATTAATCCTTTATGCCAAAATTCTGGCATAGCTGGATGTACGCTATATATAGGTATATATTCTATATGTGGATATATACTCTCTATGTGGATATACTCATGGAGGAGCAGACATTGATGCCTCCAGAGCATAATGGTGCCTGGGATGATGCTGGTGGCTGGTTGCAGGGGACCAGGCAGGAGAACGGCGCAGTGTCCTGGTGGCTTCCCAGGGCGGGTA